ATGCCGCGCACTCGCACTTGTCAGCCTAAAAGATGACAGTGATGGCAATGTGTTACACAGGACAGTTGAGTTTGAGGTAGTTAACACACATATTTCAACCCTTAGGTATTGGTGTCGATCAAACCAATTTGTGTGTCTGTGTGTGTTGCCTTTGCAATTGAGGTCATGTCCATGCGGCATTCATTGTCGCTGGTATTGGTGACGTCGTTGTGTCGCTGGCGACGTCAGCCGAAGCATTAACTCGACATTTGTTTCAAGCTGCTGCGGTTCGGAGTAAGAGCAGGAGGAATTGGGGGCCAGATAACCCAGCTCCGGCAGATAGCGCAAGTTGGGACCGAGAGTTGCGACATATTGAAAATCATTGGCAGCGCACTTGCACACAAACACCCCAAAATGTGTGGAGAGGGGCGGCTAGAACAACGAAGAGAAATGTATTGAAAGACAAACGACATTGGCATCAATTTTTATTTCCCCATATGTGTGAGTCTGCGAGTCTGCGAGTGTGTGGACATGAAGAAATTTTTATTACATTGAAAATTTGCATAAAATATTTAAGCCAAATGGTCGGTCGATTGTGTGGGCTGCCATGTGAAAAACATAGAGCTTGAATGGCTTTCTTATACAGGCCCGGACGTAGCCATTGGCTGCTCACGTTGTGATCGACTTGGCAGAGCTGACAGCCTAAGGCTATGCGAAAACGACAGTTCCCACTTTGCCAATGACATGTGCGGTATGGATTTGTTGTCAAACCTAAAAAGTATGAAAGAGGGCAAAACTCTTGGAAATTTAAGTTTACATATTTGTGGCTAAAAGAAATAAGACTACCAAGCATTGGTTACCTTAAAAGGGGGATATACTATAAGCTGCATTGGGAGAGTTTCAGATAGAATTCACAATGAATTTGAGCTCAGTTCTCTCTCATTTGCAGTGCATAGAAATGATTGGAGTTGGTGTTTTGCTTACTGTCGTGTCGTTAATTCTCTGAGTGATGAATAATTATATAAATAAGTGTAGAATTTTAGCTCTATGCGACAGCATCACTTGAAAGACTTCTCTTTAAACACACTCAACTGCAGCAGAGGGCTGATGAGCCGCTGTGCTGCGAGTGTCGGCGCGACATGTTTCAGTCAAGTGGAACATGGGGCAGCTGACTGCTTTGATATCCTTGCCGCATTAAGCAACAACTGGCGGCCTACTTTGGCGAGCGCTGCCAACACACAGTCAGCGAGATAAATGTACGCCCAATGCTGATGTGCATGCAAATGTACATTTTTGGGCGATTTTCAAGCGGCAGGCTTTGGGCCTGGCAGACAGATGTCAAGACAGCAGACGACTTCTTGTGTACTCGTTTATGTATGCCAACATCAGCATGTGTGTGTGGCTTGTAGAGCTGCTGTTGGTGGCCATGGCATATATGGCTACCCATTACAATGCGAGCAACAACACGGACACTACAGCGGCAAAGAAGTGGCGCTAGACGGGCGAAATAAATGAAAGTTTATGTTATAAAATGGCAAAGTGTGGCACACAATCTATTGGCAAAAAGTCAAGCAAAACGGCAGTCACAGCACCAACTACAACAGCAGCACCAAAACTGTTGAGAGCAGAAGCAAAAACTACAACGAGAAGAGTTAAAGTCAAAGTGTCGAGCGCTAAATACTCTCGCAGAAATTATATAAAAATAAAAATAAAAAAAATCATAATATATTTCAAGTTATCTTTAGTGAATAAAATGTAGAAAGTATTGAATTGTTAAATAATAAAGGCGTTAAGCTAATAGTATGTGTGTATCCTGAAAAAGTGAAAATATAATTGAAAAAAAAAAAAAACATAAAGTAATCAATAATAATGAACAAATACAGAAATATTTTTTTTTGAGAATTTCTTATATGAATTGAGCCATAACTAAATTAGTCAAAATAGAAAATATAAAAAAATAAATATCAAATGAACTAAAGTTTTATTAAGAGATTTTCTACATGAAATATATTTCAAATTAATGAAGAAAATTTTATATAAAAACAAACAAATTGTAGAATGAATTAGTTATGGCAGACAACAATTTAAAGTAGCTCACAAATTGAATGACAGAAGTATTAAAACTAATGCTTAGCATGTATATATATACATATATATTTATATATGCATAGATATATATATATATCTACAGTAATATCATGTCTAATTATAAACATTTATTCGCAGACTGCTGGAGCTGTCATTGACACGCTTCAGTGTACTATTCGATCAGCAAATTCGAGCAGTACTTGTATTGAAAGTTGTCTTCAAGCTGATTTTCAAGTGCGTTACAAACTTATTCACAAAATCATGCCACCCCAAGTGCGGGCATGAAGAGGGAAAGAAAGCGTAGGCTAGCGGCGGGCGTTATTGTTGCTGTAGTTGTTGCCAACAGGCATAAAATAGCGCATATAAGATAAAGGATATGTGCGAGCCTCTCCTCTCCCTCTCCCTCCCCTTCGCTCTCTTTCTCCCACTCTCTGTGTCGGCGCAAAAATGTAACAAAAGTCAACATGTGGCGTTAAAGATGCGAACGTGCAGCGAATCCTTGAAGTTTTCTCTACATATTTTTTGCAGCTCTATTTTTTTCACACCCTCTCCAGGCCGTTGGTCTAATTTAGCAGCTGGTCCGGCCTTTAAGTTGCACATTCCGACATTAGTATTGGCAACAGGCTGGCATATTTAATTTTGCTGGCAACTGTTACCTTAATCTGGCCAGAGTCTGGCTGCCCCTTGAAAACTTTATTTGCAATTGCCGCAAATATTTGCCTGGTGTGGCAAATGGAACCGAACTGAAGACGAATAATAATTTAAAATTGATTGATATGTACAATGGTCGATTAAAACATTTTACTGCACTTTATTGCAAAACGGCAAATAGTAATATTTCGATTACAAATTTGAAAAGCAGGATTGATAGCCATGACATGCAAATAAATTATTAATAAATAAAGGCAAAACTACATATGACGATTAGGCTTCAGTAGTTTCGACAGAAAAACAAATCCAAAACAGACCAAAAGTCAAATTTCATATACAAATTTTATTGAAAATTTAATAAATCTGCCAAGAAAAAAGCCACAGTCTAAAGTAAATAAATAAGTTTGAAATTTACTTTTATTATATTTTCGTTGACTATCAAAGCAACAGCCAATGGACATTATTGAGGTCAACATTGTATACCCTGTATTGATTGGTATAAAGCAAAGGCAGTGTGAGACTCTGAAGTATATTCAAATACTAATATTTACAACATTTTAGGCCAAAAGCCAAGTGACTAAGAATAAGTGTCTTAATCATTAGCTATATCAAGATGATAAACAATTTTCGAGTCAATTAAAAAAAGATATAAAAGATATATAAATAAAGACTATGTCCGATAACTATATAGAATAATATATGGGATATGCAATAATATCTGTGTTAAAGAAAAATTTGGCGACTCAGGCATCCCACTGACTGACAGTGGCATGATAAACATATACTAATCTTTAGCTTTTGCTGGATATTTATAAGCCGGACGCACTCAACCAGCTCATTCGTTTCAGTTCACAAAAGATTTTCTCTCCGTTATTGCTATTTGGTATTTAAATGGAATTTTAAATGCATGCTTTGCAGCTACAGATAGCTCTCTCGCTCGCTCTCTTTCTCTCTCTCTCTCTCTCTCTCTCTCTCTCTCTCTCTCTCTCTATCTATCTATCTATCTATCTATCTCCCACTCAGTCTCTGTCTCTGGCTCTGTGCGTCTGTGTGGCTTATTCTACTGAATTTTGAGGTAAGTCACCAACCTGGCATCGACCAGGCACCAGGCACCAGGCAATAACCCCAACCTCCTGTCATCTGCATATTATCAATAAACGTAGCTTGAGGCCAACAGATTGCATCTGACGGCAGACATTCAATTGTCTAGTAGAAGATGCGAGTGGTTGCACTGAGCAGCAAGTGAAGCAAATGATTTTGTCATTTGTTCTGATTCGCATACCCATTTACAGCAGCGGGATAGCATTGGCATGCGCTTTTCTATGCGAATCTCAATTAGAGCACTTCAAGTTGAGATGCTATGCAGAGAAGTTTTGAGTGTAAATATTTGAATAAAGTCTCATGATTTAAGTTATGCCGGTAGGTAAATTCGGAATTACTTTAAGTGGTTTTAATTAAAGCTGCTGTTCTCTGCCAATCTCAATGATGCTGCTAATTAAGGCAGGCGAGAGGCCTGCGGCCGAAATGTGTACATTTTGAAGACAAATTCGAATCCGAGCCAACAATATGGCAATAAGCGAATTTTCGTTTATAACAATGCAAGCTGGCCAAAAACCCAGTCACATTGGGTCACAGTCCGGTTGCCAGTGTAGGCAAACTGCGTGCAACCACATGCAATTTTGTTTGGATTTCTGCTGCAGGCGCTGTGGTGGCATGTGGCAAGGGTCTTTGCCCAATATAGTTGAAGCTGTAGACCAAATGCCACGGCTGGCGAGGGCGGCGAGGGCGGCGAGGGCGGCGAGGGCAGCATGGCAGGCAAAAGTGTTCGCCACTCGGACGCCGGGCAGGCGCTGCTATTTGTATTTTGTGACAGGACATGTTGTCGTTGGGCATATCCTCTAAGCACATAGAAAGCAAAGCGAGGTAGTCTGTTGGGGCGAACAGTCTGATGGCTCGACAATATTATTGAAAATTGTGTGTGCGAAAAATTCATAACTGCACATTTGGGTCCCGAATTTGAGGCTAAATAGCTATCTAATGAATTCCTGGAACTTTGCCCATATTAAAAATGTTCAATTTTTCAACTGAATGTCAAACGATTTTGGGAGAGTTAATTAGCAATTGATATGGTAAAATAGCCAATTCATGCGAGAGCGGGTTAGTATTGCTTCTAAACGCAATTTGTATTGTGTGTGTTAGCCCTCACAGAGAGTTCAGCAAATCTTATCAGCCCCAAGCAAGTGGCCAAGTGCCGTTTCAGTTTACAGTTTTCAGTCTTTGTCTGCACACAGGCAGCTGAACATGTCAGCCTGGGCCGTCTCCAACACGAACCTCTATGACGCCACAGCGAATGCGAGTGGCGCCACAGGATCCAGGCACAGGCGGCTGCTACGTCTGGCCTGGCAGACGCTGGCTGCCAAATGCCAGCAGCTAACTGACTTCATGAGACGGGAAACAAATAAGCCACTGCCAAAAGAATTGCGTCGATCGTTGCGTCTGAATAAGTCGGCCAGGCGGAAGGGCTATCAACATTATGAGACAGAAGCAGATAAACAGTAAGTGGAAGAGATAAGCCAGCTATTATTGTTTATTTTATATTTGAATTGATTTCCACCCATACATATATATATTAAATATCTTACATATATTGATTTTTTCTAGACGCATCAAGGATTATCTGAATCAGCCCATTAATCTATCTGTTCGCATGGGACCTGCCTACGATTACAGACCATCGAATTGTTAGCCATGGCAGACATATAGCCCTTAGATATAGATAAATTAGCTAATTGCATGAGCTTTAAGCATATATTTTGTTTTCACACTAAAACTTATTATAAAGCTTGTGTTACTTTCTTAAGTAACGTAAATTGCATTCAGTGTACTTACTTTTAGAGCTTTAAAGCTTTAGAGCAACTTAAGCTTTAGGGCTTTAGCTTGTGGCAAAACTTGGCAAAACTTTAAAGCATGCGATAAGCTTTCAGCTCGTCTGCAGCTTTTCAAAGCTTCTGTATTTTGCCGGCTGTGCTCTTCGCTTCGCTTAGCTAAACTTAAGTTACATGTACTCTTAAGCTACCCACCGTTAGCTTCTCTTAACTGCGCCCACACAAAAGTTTATTGCCCCGCTCTGAGCAAGTGAACGCCTGTACGTGCGCTACACACTCAAGGCATATTGATTTGTAATAAGGCAGAAACAGGTGTTAGACAGAAGACTACAAATGTTGCAAACAGAAACATCAAGTATATTATTACTACAAATTTATGAACTTCTGTGATATTTTTAATTTACATAAGAATTTGCTTTACAGAGCATTCACGAGCTCATACAGCTGATTCGAGTGCGTCAATTTCTGCGAAAAGCATGGGCTAGGTTTTCCTTTCAACGGCTCCAGCACTTGGTGTTTTACGCGCTCTCCCCCTTTCACGCTAGCTCTCGCTCTTGCTCTCTCGCTCTCTCTTTATCTCTTTCCCACTGTCTCTCAATACACACACATCTCGGTTGCGCTTTGTCCGTAACCATGGCACCACATACACACACATACGTCACAGAAAGCGTAGTCTCCTCTTTTTTATGTCAGCTTAGTGTGAAAAACGTGTTCGACGCGGAAATGACATTGATAGTGAAATTTCATCTAGGTGCATAAAGTTCAAAGGCAAAAAAAAAAATATTAATAAAAATAAATGCAAATTAATCAAAAATTAACAAATTTTAGCAAAAGTTAATACAATTCGTGTTATGTAAAGTTAAAGCAAAGGTTTTGTTAAGTTAACTCTACTGCTTGTGTAACTTATTATTTAACAAACGAGCAAAACTCGCTTTTAAAAACATAAAAGCAAATAAACTACAAAATGAAGATTATTTCAACGCTCGTCTATTTGTTGGTGGCATTCTACAAATTCTTCAAGAAATTTCTGTGAGTTGAATTAGATTGAGGGCTGTCGACTATGGCCAACCTCGGCATGCCAATTAGTTATTGATAAAACTACAAATCACACGACACAGAGACTATGCAACAGTACAACAACAACAAGGGAAACAACAAAGCGCATATCCATTTGCATGCCATTAGATTTTTCCGCATTTACCAAGCCCCAACATATTGTATATATTTTCTTTGTGCACTTATTAAGTCATTTAACAATTACCTTCTTTAATTTTGTTTACTTCTGTGTGTGTGCACATATAAGCTGCAAATGCAGCTCATTTCACAAATCTATATACATCCGTGCTATGTGTGAGTATCAGTGCTTTTGTAATATTTTATCATAAATAATTTTTTACTTTTACTTCAATGCGTCTGAAAGAGCAACTCGGAGCTGGCAAAGAGTGAGAGTGAGTGAGATTGAGAGCAGACTTCACTATCCATCTCTGTTTGGCTCTCCCTCACTCTCACTCTCATTGCGGCTCGTGTTTGTTTGGGTTTGAGGCCCCTAGCGAATTGGCTGCTACTGACCCTCGCGTCAATGGAAAATACTCAAGTGTGCGTGTGTGTGTGTGTGTGTGTGGACAGTCCAAATGAGATTTTAATTAATATAACGGCACTTTGTGTATCCGTGTGCCTGTGTAACAACTCTCCTTTGTTGAGGGCGTTGCCTGTACAATTTAATCAGCTTTTGTTCTCCAAATTGTATCCTTTTGTTTCGCTACGCTCAGAGGTTGAGTGAACTCGACTCTAGACAAGTCAGAAACTGTGTACATATTTAACGCTACGAAGTTGGCGAAGTTCATATAAATAGTATTATATTTAAGTCGAGCATTTTGTAAGTTTTTCAAGGCCGAACTTGTTTCAGTATATTTATAGCAAACCAAATCATATAATACATAATATACTTTACATTTGAGTTATAAAATTTAGCTATGAAATAGTCTTTATTTTTAATTAGTAATAAAAATCACTCCAAGTTGGGATTGTCAACTTTCCGTACGTGTACATGCACTAGAATTATTGTTGTTTGTGTCACGAATGGAACCTCCAGACACGAAGTTGGAACACATCGCAAAGTGAATCATGGATGTTGCCTTTGTTTTGTATTTGTTTAGAGTACAAAATACTCACGTGTTATTAACCAAACATTTGCCTAGCTCGAATAGCAGTTTGTATAAGCGTAGCAACTATGCGAGCTTGGTTCATTTACAATTTATATTTCTGTTATGCTGTCAAGGTCATAGACGTCCATGAACTCTCTTTCCACATTGATTACGTGCCCACTCACATGTCTATCGCCGCCTGACCGAACTCTCGCATGCCTTACCTACCTCAAACCCATTCAAAACTTAATTCAAAATTCCCATTGTGTACAAAACAATTCATCAAAAAACAAAAACAGAAGAAATCTGTTTAAGCCAGAGTTGTAATCCACAGCAGTAAGCAGTCCACACTTGACACGGCACTCGGCATTACTTGAAGTGCTACTAGAAATCACTTTCAGTGATAAGTGCATACAGATCAAATTCCAAAATACAAACATATATATGAAAAGACCGACGAACAGACAGACAGACAAACATATTTATATAGTACACACTTATGGCACGCTTACGTTGCCCAAATTGATAAGCCAGACGGCGGTACAGCGTAAACAAAAAACAAATCACTGCAGTACAATAAATATGTATGTGTATATATGTATATATGATATATGTATAAACATATCATGAATGTATACAAATTGTTACAGAGCATTCGAGATAAATGTGGTCATGTGCCGTATGCCACGTAGGATAAATTGAGTTTGGGCAAGTGAAGTCCAGCAAGGCCGTCAGCTAGGCTAGTCGTTATCTAATCGCCTCTGGCTAGACCACTAACTGTGAGCAATAAAAGAGTGAAATAACAGCTCTTCTAATCAGCTTCACAATTGGGTCTACCAATACTCTTGATAGATTCGCAAAAAGCCCCAAGAGACCGACCGGCCGGCCGGCATACGTTCATATAGTTTGCTGATCTGCGGCGCATATGCAGCCACTTCGAACTAATTCATACCACTTAATACCGGACGTTTAGTTCCAAGCGTCACTTCTACCAATCACCTAGCCCCTGGCCAGCCGTGTGCCTTATCTCATGGATCATCCGCAGGCTTCGTAAATATTAATGTTAGGCCACTTTATGGCCATGTTCCGATAAGGCCGATGACAAATTCCACTTGCAAATTTTAAGTAGCGCAACGCGAAATTAGTCGCTCGTGTGGTCTTTGATAAGATACGGCCTCAGTCATGCCAGACATGGGAGCCTCAGGTGCAGACGCCACAAACCTGAATCGCCGAATCTTATCGAATGCAATTTCATGATTGGGCCGACCCACAGCGACTTCTTAAAGTTATTTATAACATCGTAGTTATAAAGAATATATGGAGCATATTATAACGTAATATAAATGTAAAAAATAATACATTTTTCAACTTAGTAAACAAAATTTAAGAAAATTAATTAATTAATTTATTAAATTAGTATAAATAAAGATTATAAAGACCATATTAGAAATATTACTGTAGAAGTGATAAAATTGATTCAGCAATAATAGCTAATATATTTCTTGTGAACTTCAGTTATTCTAGACTTTGTTTCTAATAGTTGTATCAAGAGGTATTTCGAATTCTATTAGGAACACCTTCAGCAGCTGCAACCCCATTGGAACTTAGGAAAGCATTGCCTCTTACAACACCTGATGGCCTTACGAGCTCTGCGAGAATCAGCCATTGAACTTAAAGCACTTAAGGTGTTAGATAGTCCCATAAAGAGAGAGAATTATAGAGGGAGACAAAGTCACACGGCGAGAGAGAATCGGTCAAGTAAGAGCATTTTGTAAATATTTTGCTCAATGTTGTTGTGAATTGTGCAATACACACAGCATATCGAGGCGCGTAAAGCAATCGCTCCGGTTCGCTCTGCTCTGGGTCTGGGTCTGGCCATGCGCTGTAGAGTGTACTGTATCCTTATCAGCTCAGCTAGCCAGCGGATGGCGAGCGAAGAGCGGCATCGAGCACTCTATAAATGGTGCAAAGCACCAATTGTTGCTTTTAGTTCTTTGCGGTTTGGCGCCGCGTTTGAATCGCAGACAGATCGCCGAAAAAGGCCCTGAAGGAGCCAATTTGCCCCACGTTAAACGCGACTGTGCGAAAACCTTGTGAATCTCGCGAATGAACTGCGCTCGCTTGATCTAAGAAATATCAAGATTCCAATTCGATTCCAATTTGGATAATGTGTTGTGGTGCGGTGCTGGCGTAAAAATGGTGAGTTCAATGTTAGCAAACTCAAGGAAACCACAAAGACCAGCTGCCCCCGGCCCGAACCACTTGCAAATGCGTTACGATTCCCTGGGCAATGCCAATGCAATGCAGTAATCATATAGTTACTATAGCATAGTTATTATAGTTGCGGACTTCGTCAACTTCAGGCGGAGAATTTCAGTCTACGCCGGTACAGAACCAGTTATTTCCAAATCGCGATATGCCCGCCCGACCATGTGCCCCAATGCTGCTGTTGTATAACGAAATCTCTCCGTTAATCGTTTCGTTTCACTCGCAAAACAAAGGGTGCTCATACTTACAATATAAGCGTGTAATAAAGCTGACGATGCTCTACATATGTTTGCATCAACAAAAAGGGCACTAGATTCTGCTACAATCAGGAAAATCTAGCTGAAAATGTGATAAGAGTTTCATAATTTGAGAGATTCCGATTAACTTTTTATAACATATTCCGCGAGGTATTGAAATTTCTTAACACAAATTATTCTGCCACTGCTTTTGTGACTCAACCTCTAGTTTCTAGGGTATATTTTGGCTTAGCTATTTGTTACAAAAGTGTTCCCACAGACCGTCTGCTGATAAGGTTATCAATTAGCCAGACGACGACACGTAATGCGGGATTTGTATTGTGCCGCTTGAACAAATGCGAATGGGTTCGATGGTGTGAAGGACGATTGATCACCCCTCGTTTGGCAGGCGACGCACAGGTGTCCAGCTGGCCCGAGAGTTGATTGCTCACTGCCAAGTTCATGAGACATTTTCAGCATGTTGACGATCACTAGACGTGCTTTATATATACATACAAATATATTTAGCCATATGCAAACAGTATGTGAGATATATAAATAAATCTCAATGACGGACGCTCTGCTTGTTAAGTTTGCTCCGCTTTCCGTGCTGCATTGCCAAAAGCAAAAAAAAAAAAAAATAAATTAAGAACATTAAATCGCAAGAAAATAAGTAATTTTCAATTAGCATCAGGGTGCTAAATGATTTCGGACTGCCTAATGCTAAAAACTAGGATGTTGAGGCTCCAAAGACCAGCTATATAACTAATCAGCAAAAAGCCACCTTGAGATATGTATTGTTAGAAGCAACAGTGTTTCTTACCGTCTATCCATCTCACTTATCAGCTGAGCAAACACTAGTCACAATAATCACCCAAAATATATTTAACGCAATTTTTCGATCCACTGCCAGACGTTATATTTTTGCGGCCAGCCGCAAAGTATGCAACATTTTATTTTATTTCATGCATTATTTGTTCTAGACACTCAGCACTCAACTATCATTTCGAGCAGCGCAGTCCAAAATAATTAGTTAAACTTATTGGCTTTGCAATTGTTTATGCTATAATTAACGAGGTTTCACTGTGCTCACAGTATATACGTATATAAAGTCTTTTTATTAGCGTAGAAATTAAAAATTTGCATATTGCGGAAATAAAGGTTTTTCTATTATTAGATCAATTAAATAACATACAACATACATACATATGAAATGCTATTAATTCGTACTTGAATGAATGCAAATCGTGACGGACAAATAAAAATGTCATGAAAATTTATTAGCTACAATTTGTTGAGAAGGTGAAAGAGCAAGAGCGAGAGAGAGAGAGCGCGCATCAATGAAAGTGATCAAAAAATAGTATTTATAGTATATTATATATTAAATAAATGCAATTAGTATAGATTAAAAACTAAATATACTAACAAGAAATATCTATCAAACTTTGATGTAGATGATTGCTGATAGATTTGTTAAGCTTTTATCAGATTTAAAATGCGATTAGATTAGATTATATTCGTATAGAATAATTTCTTTCTCTTAAAGATCACGCTTATGGCAATCAGCCAGCTCACTTTACTAGTTTTATTCATTATTCATTATTAAAAAAGAGAGCTGAAAATTAAAGATAAAGCACGCTTTATGCCTACGACAAATTGAACAAGTCGGAAAAGTGATCCTAATTTGAGTTACAAGTGCACTTTACAAAGCATACAATGAGCTAATTAATTGCAACATTTATCATTAGCCGAGTGCAGCAAAGTTTAACAACTGCCAATTAGTCGAGCTGCCTTGTTGTGCTTCCACCTAGTAACTATATAGATGGATTAATGATCGGATCAGAGCTGATTGGCAATTCTCTGCGAGGTGATTTGATTGGCACCCACGTCAAAAGAAAGCCAATAAAGTATAATAATCTTTAATATTTATTGTATGTAAAGCAGTTATTGTTTCATTTTGATATTATTCAGCTATATTTTTTGTTGCTAATTGCGTGTTTTGACATTTTGGAAAGTGTGCGAGCAAAATCTCGTTTGCCTTAACTAGAGGAGCGCACAGCCAGAGAGCAACAAAGTCATGTACTTATGACTGTACAGCAGCCGCAACAGCAACAGAAACAACAGCAACAGCAGCAACAATAGCAACAACAGCACAACATAAGCAACAATTAATGAGCAGCGGGCAGCAGGCAGCGGGCAGCGCCTTATAGCGAGACAGCGAGGCAGCGTCCACTTGATTGCCTCGATCTGGCTAGAGCGGTCCAAAGATATATAAATAAGGAAAAGCAACGCACGCGCGTATTAATACATTGGGTGTTCGGTTCTAAACGCGCAACGGTCGTACGAATATTGCGCATACGCCGCGTGGCCAATGATTTAAACTGAATTTTGTGTGTGTGACAGAGTGTGCCAACGGCAAAATATGGACAATAACACTGACAAGCACGAACAGCGGCTGGGCCATCGTCGCCAGCCAGCCCTGGGCAAGGCCATGCCCGTGACTGCCTTGCTGCTAAATCTGAATCTTGCGCACAACAATAAGCCAAGTCATGCAAGGAGCGCAGCAGCTGACTCGCTGGATGACGATGAGCCGCCGCCGCGTTACTTTAACATAGCCCAAGAGGTGGAACAGCCGCCGTCGCCCAGTGACAGCAAGGAAGCCCAGCCAGAGCTACAAGGTGCTGGAAAGCCGGACATGCCCTGCCTCAACTGTTGCCAGCGAGCGCCTTTGGACTTAAGTGGACCCGGTCTGGCCATTAATGAGATGTGCCAGCGCCTGTGCAGCGATGAGTGTCGACGCGGCCTCAGCTTGACTGGCTGCCTGGCCACACAGGATGCAGAGCAGCTGCGGCAGGATTTCCTGAAGCAATATGAAATTGCGGAAGCGCTGGCCAAGACCTCGGCAATGACCTCGACAACACAAATGAAACAACGTCTCGCCGCACGCAAACTGGAAATGGATATCGAGACACAGGCGGCAGCGGCTTCCACTGAGCCAGCCTGGCTAACCACACCCAGCAATAAGGCAGCAGCTGCTGTTGCTGGTGGCGTTGTTGCTGTTACTGCTGCCGCTACTGCTGGAGACACGTTGCCGCCAATCGCTGATTATGAGCAGCCGCCGCCGCGAGATTTGCTGTTGTATCTTGTGAGGTGAGAGATAAATGCGAGCAGGCGTGCTCCATACAAAACTTGTTGCTGTTGCTGCTAGCCAGCGGCTATTGCGTTTATAAATCAAGTTCATGGCCAATACTGACAGACTGTCAAGTGTTCTTAGCCATTGTGAAGCCCCAATCCACTCGGATTCAATCAAAAAATAACATAACTAACCTTGCACAATTCGTGCGAAAAAGTATCTATAAGCTACAATTACAAGAGCTCTGTGGCTCTTATCGATAAATATGCGAACAGAAGCAAACAGCGCTAGATATTGAGCTATTGTATCTCTTACAGCTATAAATATATTAATATATAATCATATATGTATATATATATATATATATATATGTACATAAGTAACGTATCGATTAAAGCAAATAATTTGGCATTTTATAAATACCTTAAAATGTTTTGAGAGATTTGGCGCTTAGAGCTGGCTTCGATTCTCTTTTTGAACTTGAAATTTAAGTTTTAAAATTTGTTTACCAGGCGAAATTATAAACAAAATCAATTGCCCAAATAAAGAGGCAGACACAAGTTGATATGTGAAATAACTTGGTTGAAAGATTAGACAAACCACATCTGTACATGGCTTATATATATACTTGTAGAGTTCAGGGTTCTGTGAGATAGAGGCGCGGCAGACTTTACAAAGTATACGTATCTTGAACAGGACGAGCTTTTTACTATACTTAACAAATTTATAATATTTTTACTCATTTTATTTAATTATTATATATAAAAAACGATAATTGGATTTCGGTTTTTAAGCGTACCTGCATCAAAAGATGGAAAGCTTAAACTTAAATGAATACAAATGAATACGAATGAATGAATATGCAGATTGGGTATACTTTTTTCTTTGCCCCAAAGGCACTTATTTAAATTATGCCATGTTTGTTTTAAAGATTTTAAATGGGGCTTATAAGTAAAAATATCATGAACTATATAATTTTTTAAGTTGTTGCTTACAAATACATCATGATTCATATCTTTATTTATTTATCATTATTATTTATGAGATCAGTTTAACAGCAAATCCATTTTAAATATTTCCATTTCATTTACTTTTAAATAGTATAAATAAATTTATATCTTAAAGTTTAAACTTCTGGTTTATCGCATTTGGTGACAAAGGTTTTTTATGACTAATTAGTAAATTTTCGTATGAAAATATTTAGTTTCCACAGGCAAACCATTTGAATTAGCTTTATGCAAAATAGAACTTATTTAAATATGAAATTTGTGCTAGTCTTGAGAGTCTTAGACAAACTAAAGAAGAAGTTTTCTATCTTAAGTTAGAATTAATAGTTTTGGACAGCTAGAATTTAGAAACTGAAACTGGTTTCGACAGATTATATATGATAATATATTATCTCACAACTGCGTGTCAACACACAAATTGGCCAGTTTGGGAGCTGGTCACGTGGTTAACGATAGCAATGGGTATCTGGTATTTGGCATCATTTATGCATTGCAAGTGGTTCGACATATACAAGTCTCTCCCCCCCCCCCCCCCCCCCCCCTTCCGAAACTAATCGATTAATGCTTTAACTTTTCCCATATTTATAATTCTATTCTTTTTAGGAAATACAGCTTGAACCGCGTCTCTTTGACATTGCCATATTGACACTTAATATAAAACATTTCAAGTTAACCTAGTGCTAAAAGCAGCTAATGCTAAAATCTAAAACAAATCGTAATCAAATCAAACCGATTTACAGTTAAAAGACGGTTACTTAATAACTTAACCAAGAACAAGAGATAAGAGATCCAAGTAAAATGGAGTTCTTAATGAAAACGTCGCGTTTGATTGTCACAGCGAAGACTTTCGCGCGTCGTGTAGCGGTGCCTATACCCAGGTAACAAAACAAAAAAAAGTAACAAAAAAAGATACAGTATTTTTAAGTAGGAGATACTTTGCTCGGATTCATTACGCATGTAACTGCGTTGTTGTATAAATTGCGCCCGTCCGTCTATCCCATATAGGAATATCTCTATCTGTTCTTGTTTCTGTATCTGTATCTGTTCTTGTTTGTGTATATCTCTTGCCTGCTGCATATGGGCGCAGATATGCTGAATATGCGCATTTCTGTGTGCCTGTCTGCGATTTGCATGCGAGCACAAATTTGTTTAGGCATAAATCAGTTTGGCCAATAGACTCATGCTCAGTGTCCGTCCAGGCGTATGCGAAAAAGATACTTTTGTTTTCATTACAATACGAAACGAAAGTGAGACAATGGCGTGCAGCTCCATGTGAATGTATCTACATAAAGAATGCTACGCATAAATATTTACCAAGCTGTCAGTTCGCAGTGTATTTCAAGCAATTGTTCTCGTTCTTGTTGTTGTTGCCATAGTTGTTCTTATCTTTATTGTTACGCTGCTCATTTTTTGCGCAACTGAGCAACGCACGTGAGTAGAACGTATTGATCTTGTTCTGTATCTTGCAGATACATCTCACTTTGTGTGCGCTCAGCTCGATCTATATATGTGTGTATGTGTGTGTGTGTACGTTGAAATACTCGTTTATGCGTGCTTGCTCTCTTTCTCTATCTCTCGATCCCTCGCTCCATCTCCCTCACTCTCTGTCGCCCTGCCTCGCTCACTCTCTTCTGTGTGTCTGTCGGGCTGATCTCTAATAAAACGCCGCATTTCAGTTGCCATTCAGTTTCGCAAATGTCGCTTACAAGCGCACTTCGCTCAATTTTCGGCAAAACCCACAATCCAAACAAAATTCACCCAATTCCCAACCATCGACACCACCAGCTACAGCCACATTTCGCTATCGAGTCTGCTAACCACATGGAGCAAGCGCTGCAATTGAATCGCGCCAACAAGGCGCCCTGCAAGAACGACCGCAAGGCCTTCCTGCAAAGGGTGATGCTGACCAGGTGAGACTGAGAGTCACCAATCAATTGATTGATTGCGTTGCCAAAACGATCCCAACTGGTTTATAATCGCTGGCCCGAAAACCAGCTAAACAGCTGTAAAGCTATTGACCGAGCGACATTTTTTTCTTTCATTATATTTTTGCTGTTGTATTTAAGTATTTTGTAAGCCGCAAGCGGCGCGTCGTCTCGACATGTCCGAAGCGCTTTGCGTGGGTGGGCATGAATCGAGATCTCTAGCTTGTGAAAGCTGGGCTCACGCTCATTTAGTCCGAGCTATATACTTGCTCTGGTTTTTCACAAATAACATTTATTTGCATTTCATATTTTTTAAGCCCGAAAATTATGATGCTCATAAAGTTTACGAACCTCTGAAGCTGCACGCAGCTAAATGTAGAAACAACAACAGCACAAAGAATCAAAACTTTCTGGATAAGAGCAACATAAACATCATATTCAATATGAAACCTCAGTAACAAATCATTTCAGCTGTAACTAATATCTAAATTTCATATTTTCTAAAACTTCCAATTAAAATGGAATTTTAAATAAAAATTCTGAATAAATTGTATTAGATTGGCTTTTTTGTTAATAATATAAATCTAAAAATGAGGTATTCAAAAACACATTTGATTTAAATTAAAATTTTCTCTTGGAAATAACCATAATCCAAAACCCTAAAAAAGCCTTGTGCTCTATACATTGTGCAGTTTTCTATTATAAATATTCGTCTTAAATTTAAATGAAATATTTTTATTGCAGCAGGTTTAAAGGTTCTATGCCAAAGTTCAACGTTAGCCAAAGGCATAGCCATAGCTTATTCATTTTCAGCATAATTCTACGAAAGATTCTCTATAGAAAACCGAAAGAGCTGTGAGTATCGTTGATCAAATTGTTTACGAGCTACAAATGCTGTAAAGATGCCAATTGTTGCTGTTATTGTTGTTCTTCTATTATTATTATTATTATTATTTTGCTGCTGTGGATGTGGTTCTTATTATTGTTGTTGTTGTTACAGGCATTGTTTTTTTGGAAATTTTGCTTAAGCTTCAGTTTTTCAGTAATTTTAAATATTTAATTTAAATGTTCTGCTTCAAGACAAAGAATTTCCGAGAATTGACATTGTTGAAATTCAAATTGGCATAAACAACAAACTATTTCTTCTGTTTATATTGGCAATCTCTTGCATCTTAATCATAGGATGGGCTCGTTCAACTCGGCGCCCAAGATAAACAATGTGGACTCGCAAGACGATGGCCTGGAGCTGCCCAAGGGTCTCAGCACTGCCGCACTACTCGACCACGTGCAACAGCTGCACGGCGCAGGCACCGAGAAGCCATCGTTGTTGAGTCGTTGTTTCTTGAAGCCCTCGCCGAACAGCGCGGATGTGACCGACGGTCTGCGCTGCCTCAAGCTGAACTCTGTCTCACGTGGTAAGTCCACATCATCCGCATATTATGCACTTATTCACATCACTCTACCGCCCACCACCCACAGTATGCAGTGCTCCAGCCGATGGCGCGCAGAACATCCGATTGCTGCAGTGGAACATTCTCTCGCAGAGTAAGTGGATAAAAAAAAAAATTCAAATTGTTATTTGTATTTATATGACATTTAAAAACGAAATTTTCAAGAATCAATAAATCGATTTATTCAAAAATAATTAAAATAATTTAAAAAATTTAATTGTAAAACAATTTTTTTATTTTAATTATGCAATATTTTAATTTAAAAAACATGAATTTTTAAAATTGATAAATTAGCTCATGCATTAATTTTCAGTTAATATTAATTAAATGTTTATTTTTTCACTTTTTATCAGCTCTCGGCCAGCACAACGATGGCTTTGTGCGTTGCCCCGATGAGGCTCTGACTTGGCAGCACCGCAAGTACTTGATCGTCCAGGAGATTCTTCAAAATCAGCCGGATGTTGTTTGTCTGCAAGTATTTATTTATGCCCAGAGTTTAATGTAATGCAGTCGCGCTTTAACATCTCGTTTCTCGCACTGTGCAGGAAGTGGATCATTTCAAATTTCTGCAGACTGTACTGGGCAGCCAGAACTATGCGGGCATCTTCTTTCCCAAGCCGGACTCGCCCTGCTTGTACATCGAGCAGAACAACGGACCCGACGGCTGTGCCATCTTCTACAAGCGCGACAAACTCCACCTCGTGGGCTACGACACACGCATCCTTGAAGTGTGGCGCGTGCAGAGCAACCAAGTGGCCATTGCTGCTCGGCTGCAGCTGAAAGCCAGCGGCAAGGAGTTCTGTGTTTGCACCACACACCTGAAGGCACGTCATGGCGCTCTGTTGGCCAAGCTGCGCAACGAGCAGGGCCGTGATCTGATACGCTTTGTCAAGCAGTTTGCCGGCGAGAGTCCGCTGTTGCTGTGCGGAGACTTCAATGCGGAGCCCGTTGAGCCCATCTATGCAACGATTCTCGGCTGCGATCTCTTCAAGCTGGGCAGCGCCTATGCGGACATGAAGCTGGAACGTGAGCGGGAATGGAAACGGGAACAGCAACAGCCGCTGTCGCACACAGACAGCAGCGAAGATCCCAATGAGCTCATTGCCCAGTCCATCAAGCGCGAACCTCCATACACCACCTGGAAAATACGCGAAGATGGCGAAGAGTGCCATACCATTGACTATGTTTTCTACACGCCACAGCAACTAAAGGTGAGTGGGCGTGGCATCAATTAAAAACAAAAAACAAAATAAAATACATTTTAATATTGCGTTGCAGATCAAGAACTGCCTGGAATTTCCGGCCGGAGAACAGATTGGCAAGAACCGTACGCCCAGCTTTGAGTATCCTTCGGATCATTTTTCGCTCGTGTGCGACTTTGAGCTGGTGGACGAGCCCCTTTCGGAGGGCAACAACAAGTCGCATGGCTCCATACAGTAGAGCTTGTCAGCACACGCACACAGCTACACATAGACAGAAAGACAGAAATACACACAGACATATACACACAGCAATTACATAATAAATTGTGATATTAGCTCTTAGATACAATTTTAGCCATCTATACATTTGTACGTATTATATATACTATATATGAATGTGGCACGGCAAAGCTTACTAAAACGAGAAATTAATCCATTAATAAACGAGTGTAACTTTGTAGGATTCCTTGTCGTTTTTATCATCTCTGTGGAAAAGGTAGGGACATTCGGGAATTCTACAGGATTAATATAAAATAGAACTATCTTGATCAAATATATTTAAAAATGTCTATTCAAATTATTAACAGGTTCAATTACTTCACAATATATAATTTTGTGAGATTTAATTTTAGTTTTTAGGAATTGTCTCAGCTAATACAAAGTTATGTCTGTCCATTGAATGTGAATGCAAAACTATCTCCTTTTAGTAGACTTTACATGTGACGTGTATGTTGAATACGTAGCCGGATGAAGGTTCCAAAATCAGACTGATGCCAGCAGTAATCGTCTGCTGTCTAACTTTGAATGTTTGAATAGATATTAGATTTATTGTATCTTTGTAAGAAAAGCAGTGAAATCCAGGACTATCATAGTAGTGGACTCGGAACCCGTAGAACCGATAACCGTCTTAAATTTTCCCTCATAGCCTTAATAATTGCTATTGCTTTGTATAAACTCTCAATACACGAAGCAAAGGCTCTTTGAGAGGCTTTCAGTATGGCAAGTAATTTAGTCGTAGATATAGAAATACTTGATGGAGGCATTTCTGATGAGTTGAGTCTGATTTGAAACTCTGTTATACATATTAAGCACAAGTATATGATCGGAACTCTAATATGAAAAAACGTATCTAGAGCTAAGCTCAAATAGTTCTAGGTTTCTAATATAGCACAAATTTGTATATATTTTTTTAATTTATTGTGACGTCATTTTTGCACTGCATAGTTAAAGTAGCCAACGTCGAAGGTAGTGTGCTTGAAGATATTCTCGATATCAAGCTTCAATTTCGACACAAATTAAGTAAGCTATTAGCACAAAACACGATATCTGACAAATTGCGTTGACTAAAACGAACTGGTGATAGTTGTTGCATAACAGAGCAAAATGCAGATACAGAAATATAAATAAACTGTACATGTATTATGCATTTAACAAATAATAGACTTGTTCGTACTAAAATTTAATTACACGCAGCCTCTGTTTAGAGAAGGGCCAAGATGGCGGTTAGCACGACGGATGTGGCAACCATTACATAACCGGTGGAATAGACCTCTTTGATCTTGAGGAAACGACCAGTGTCCCAGAGCAGATGGCGAATACCATTGGCGGCGTGGTAGCCAAACGGATAGGCGATTATGAACTTGATAGCGGTCAAGGAGGCGGCGCTCAGTTGGAGACCCTCCACCATGGTGACGTAGTGGCTGATGTCTTGAGAGGCGATTAGTGCGCCAATGCCCAAGCTCCAAACGCCGACGCCCATGGCCATGCCGGTGCCACGATGCATGATGGAGAGCATTGAGGTGAGCTGCGGCTTGTAGATGGTCAAGTGCGGTGACATCTGGCGTCCCAGACGTTCATTTTTCTCAAAGAAACTCTCATCCTTGATGGTTGAGCCGACAGAGACAACTTTCAATGACACCTGACGATTAGCCGCGGCCTTTTGTAGGCCTTGGCGAAGTGCTGGGGAACGCACAAGTGAGCTGCTTAGTGCATACCTAATAGATTTACAATTAATTTTTTTCTAAAAATGCATGCTATTGATAAATTACGTACATTGTTTCTTTTCACTTAAAACTTGCACTCTGTGTGACAGCCTCAGATATATTGAAAAATACCAAAATAATCGAACAGATACACTAAAAAATTTATCGATATCAAGCATAATATTGTCATTTATTCATTAAAAGCAGTTTCATCATTGCCTAATATAAATATCAAATTATTCTTAATAAATGAGTGTGTAGCGCATGAAGTTGCTCTTAATATATCGTTAGCCAGAAAGGTAATAAGACGTGCTCCACACTACGCTAAACTTCTCATATTTGCGTTACTCAATTTTGCGCTTCCGATATTGTGCTGCGTGTTACAGTCTAAGAGCTGCGAAACTAGTCCCGTGCACAAACTGCAGCAATCAGCGCCGCACCGCGGCCTGAACCATCTTCGGAAAGAACCAATTCATATCTTACTGTACCGTTCAGCAGCAAGTTCATATTTTCCATTAATAATCTATGGTAATGCGGATGAAAGCGATATACACTACCATCAATACCCACTGACAAGTCCTTGACATTCATTTTCCGGATCAAACAGACCAGCCCACAGGCAGCCAATTTAGCGGAACGCGTAGATACGGTCTCGCAGATGTAGCGCAGACACATCAAATCCTTCTCATTGCTCGTTCTGATGCCCAGACTATCCATTACCATTGCAGCATTGCGAAACCTTCCCGGCTCATCAGACTCAATCTCCGTTATAAAACGGGTCTCAAATTTACCCCTTTCATGAAGTCCCTTTGACTTTACGCCCTTGAAGAGGACATCCTTATCCATCAGCTCCACTATAATATTGCGCACCAACTCGCCCATATACATGCCAGAGATGCACTTCTCGTACACTTGTTTTTTGGGATTAATGGAAAAGTTGTCCACCTCAATATCGTAGCGAGTGCGTATAAAGTCCAGCACGCCATTGTCCCCAAAGGCACCCCACTCACAGTTGATGATCATATAGGGTTTTTGGCTGGTCTGATATCCCGGAAGCATTTCGACATTTGATGTTTTCTCGACGTAGCAGGCGTTACTGCCCGTACCCACAATCATTCCGATTTTACAATTCGGCTTATGAAAAGCGCAGGACATCAAAGTTCCCGTCGTATCATTTAGAATGGCGACGACTTTAACTTTAAGGTCGCCTCGTCGGGCTATCGCATCTCGAAGCAATTCGACAACGTTCTTGTTAACTACTCCTTCAGACTTGAATCCCTTCGTCCAGGCAACTAGAGTGCCATTATCAATGCCAACCTGCTTGCACGGAAATGAGAATGTGAAGCCAAGGGGTAAATTAGCACTTTCCAATTTATGATCTTTGCAAAAGTCAGATAGACACTGAGCAATAAAGTCAAATAGCTTAATGCCCGGGCCCTCCATTACACTCTTGCTAATGCCGTAGGTCTGGCCATCAATATGTACAGTACTTTCGGATTCTAGGTTTACCAACAAGACCCGGAAATTGGTACCGCCCAGATCTAGCGCTAAGTAATTACCCCTCTCCCTACCAGTTGGTAGGTCCTGCACGTAGGTGACAAAACACTTCATTGTAGCTCTTGGATGTGTGTCCTTTGCAAGACCCATGGTCATTTCCCTGGTCATACGATGAATTATCTCCTCCATTCTGTTTTGATCTATTGCGAACTGTTGACAAATTCTGTAAGCTTCCGGGTAAAGTGTCTGTATTTCATCCATGACCAAGGAAAGCCAACGTAGAGGGCGCTCTGTCAGCTAATTATAATTTGGAATTTTTGCTGGTTTAGCAGTAACAAAATCTAAAATAGGAGTGAGATTTTTTATTTACATCTTATCCGAATGTTGTCAGTGAAATGGTTTCAAAACAACTTGATTATCAATAATGTAGTCAAATATATCATATCGACAATTTATACCTTTGGCTTGAAAATGGTTCAATGAGTGCAACTCTCCTCCCACAGTCATTTTAGAGTTTTGGCATTATGGATACTCTCCTTCTTCTTGAAATACGAGCGGTATATGCCGGCATTAATAGTAATCCCTTTGGGCATATGGAATACTCACTACAGAGGGAGGCCAAATACCGGCAGGTTATTTCATATTGGCGTAGAACTTACCTCTTATTCAGATTTGTTACGGACTATCTCAGGCTCTAAAATGTTGAGCAAATGGCGACTCAATGCATAAAGCTATATATTTTCATCTAAGATCGATATAGACGAGACCCAAGTTGCAACCCATACCTTTGCCAAGAGAGATAAGTTTTAATATATATGATTGCCGATCGTAATGGTCATATCTTAAAAACTGAGCACAGTATAGACGCCACACGATACTCGTGCCTACTTTAAATGGAGGCGAAATGTTTAGCGTATAAACAGTCGCGCGCTTAACAAGGCGGGCATTGCCCAAAGCCAATGTACTCTATTAAATTTGAACAAGTTCAAAAATGATGCTTAATCGACAGCGCTCACGACATACGAGCATACGGACAAGGGCTGCCTGCTATAGGATAGCATCTGCAGCTGCCTGACTGCTATGCAACGATGAATGCCGCGAATACTGCTTAAGTAACGATACGTTCCCGGGTAACACTTAAACACAAGCACATAGTAATACTGTAGATATATGATTGATTTAATGCGAACATCGAAAGGACCAAATGGTTATGTTATAAAACTATCTGCAAATTCTTAAAAAATATCAGTATGAGTAATATCAAAAGCGTATGATACAAATTCGACAAGGTAAGTGCTTCTTCAGTGTCTGAATATCCAACAAGCTGTGTGGATAATTCTACGCAATGCCGGCAAACCAGCTGATGGTGGAGTTTTACGAGAAGCCTGTGTGCACGGATGTGGATGCTTTTCCTGCTGCACAGTCGGTGAAGCCGGTGGACGTCGAGTGTAGACCGCAGCAGCTAACGCCGCGCCGCGGCCCGAACCATCTTTAGAACGCAACAGCTCAAATTTTGTGGAACCCTTTAGCAGTAATCCCATATTTTCCATTAGCAACGTATGATAATGCGGATGGAAGCAATAGACACTTCCATCAATGCCCACTGTTATGTCTTTGACGTTTATTTTCTTGATCAAAGCGACTAGTCCACAAGCTGCCAGCTTAGCTGAACGTGTGGATATAGCTCTGCATATGTACCGCAGGCAGAGCAAATCTTCCTCCTCACATCCTTTGACGCCTAACTCATCCATTAATTTGCAAGCATTGCCGAATTCGCCCGGTTTGTCGGACTCAATCACACTTAAAAAGCGAGTAAGAAAAGTCTTTCTCTTACGAAGAGTCTGCCACGTTGCATCTTTGAAAAGCACGCCCTGGTCCATTAGATCCACAACAATGCGCCGGACCAACTCTCCCATATACTTACCTGAGATGCACTTCTCGAAAGTCTGTTTTTTGGGATAAACGGAGCGTTTGTCGACAGCATTATCGTAGGAATTGCGTACAAAGTCTAGCTCGCCATTATCACCAAAGGCACCCCACTCGCAGTTGATGATCATAAAGGGTTTACGGCTGGTTTGATATCCCGGTAGCATTTCGACATTTGATGTTTTTTCCATGTAGCAGGCGTTAGTGCCCGTACCTAAAATCATTCCGATTTTGCAATTCGGATTATGGAAAGCGCAGGACATCAAAGTTCCCGTCGTGTCGTTAAGAATAGCAACAATATTGACTTTGAAGTCGCCTCGACGATCGATAGCTTCCCGAAGCAACTCAACAACGTCCCTATTTACTACTCCCTCAGACTTGAAGCCTTTCGTCCAGGAAACCAGAATACCCTTGTCAATAGCAACATGCTTGCACGGAAAAGAAAATGTGAAACCAAGTGGTAAATTGTCATTTTCTATTTTATGCTCTTTGCAAAATTGAGATATGCTTTCGGCAATAAAGTCAAATAATTTGGTGCCCGGCCCCTTCATCATATCCTTGCTAATGGCATACGACTTGCTAATAACGTCAACATTCGTTTCGCTAATTACATTAGCCAACAAGACACGAAAGTTGGTTCCGCCTAGATCCAGTGCTAGATACTTGCCCCTTTCGCTACCGGTAGGAAGGTCTTGCACGTAAGTCACATAACATTTAATCGAAGAACTTGCATGGGTCTCTCTTGCAAGACCCATATAGATTTCGTTGGTCATAATTTGAACAATCTTTCCCATTGTATCTTCATCAAGCTCGAATTGCTGACAGATTTTAAAAACGTCTGGGAACTGCTGTTCTAATTTATCCATTTCTTAGATGATTGCCTAAAGCTCATTTCAAAGGCTTGTTTAAACGTATAATTTGTTGCCGCTTCCAAATAATAATCACATCCATTTTTATCGTGTACTGAGATCGGCATTTAAATTTAAAAAAAAAATTCATTTGGGAGACTAGGTAAAAATGGGAAAGCCCTGTCTTTGTCTGTTTAAAATAGATTAATTTCCCTGCCAATCAAAGACAAGTTAACGAAAAAGTAGACACGCAAAAAATAAGATATATATATATATATATAAATATATATATAATATTAAATATTCATGCACTTAAATAGTTAAATTATTATAGCGGACTCATAAGGAGACATAATCTACGCAACGTGTATATATATGTGGTTTAGTGTTCATGCTATACTAGCAGCATGCACTCCTGGATTGAAAAATTGTTTGGAATTTATTTAGAATCAACATATTACGAAAATATATTCAGAAACAAGTAAGACAATGCTTTTAGTATAGGGGGTTAACAGTAACTTAGTAGTTCAAGTTTCTGTTTCTTGCTGTAAAGTTTTGGAATATAGTTAGCCACGTCCCAAATAGCTGTTGTTCAATCCCAATACGGAGTCTACAGTAACTGTCATAGATTATTCTACATGGAAATAATGAGGTTATCTGACGGGAGACCTGGTGGTTAGTGGGTTACCCCCTTTAATAAGTATAAGTTCCAATTGTTTTACACAGAGGCAGTCAATGACCCAACTCACTTCACTCAAATAGCTGAAGTCAAAAAGTCAAATGTGAAATTAATATGAAATATATTTTATGCAGATATCATGTAATGCCATGTGTTGATATAATTAAATAATTATAATTGACTCATATTCGTTTTAACCTTTTCGCTTCGATCGCAGCTACGATAGCAGCACCCACTCCTGGACTATCTTCTGCTATGATGAACTCGAATTTGTTTTGGGGATTGGTCAGCAATAAAGCATACTTATTAAGGTTATTTAGGAAAGTGGGATACAAGCGGCATACCCCACCATCAACAGCAATCGAAATGTTCGCGTAGCTCATCCGATCGATCAGGCAGGCGACACCGACAGCTACCAACTGGGCGGATCGGAGGCTAACGGTTGCGCATATAAAGCGAAACGTTGCCAAGTCTTGTTCAGTACAGTTATTAATGCCAAATTTGTCCATGGCCTTCTGAGCTGCCGTATAAACATTCGGCGGATCCGATTCGACAGCCACAATTGACTTCATTTCCATGTTCCATGAAATGCCTATTTTATCCATGCTCGCATCCTTAAAAAGAACCCCCATTTTCATTAGACGCACGACTATAAGTCGCACCAGTTCACTTATGTTAACTGTGCTGATGCACTTCTCATAATACATCATGCCCGGATTGTTAGAATTCGCATCGATTAACTTGTCGAACTCGTTGCGTATAATGTCCAAATGTCCGTTGGAACCAAATTTTCCCCAATTAGTGTTTATAATCATAAACGGGTGGTTCCTATCCCCTTCATACATTTCACATGCTTCAAGCTGCTCTACATAAGCGGATTTTGTGAGCAATCCAACAATAATACCCATTTTACAATGGGGATACGACCAATTAATTGCCATCAGAGATCCAATGGAAATGTCGACAATTGAATTTAGATTTATGCGTATGTCCGTGAACTCATTCAAAGCATTGCGCAGCAGCTGAACCACGTTTTTGCCCACCGCACTTTGAGCCCCAAAATCTTCGGTCCATCGGGTCAAAATTCCTACGTCCAGAGCCAACTTGCTAAGTTCAAAAGCAAATGCAATTCCCATAGGAAGGTTATCCTTCTCAACCTTTTTTTTTCTGACAAACGCCGCAATATTGTAGGCCAGAAAGTTGAAAAGCGTAGTGCCTCGCGATGCGGCTATCGTATGTGGCACAATGAGACTCCTGGAGCTCATGTATACGTCCTTATCACAACTGAATTTGACTAGCATAATACGGCAGTTAGAGGGCCACATCTCTAAAGCAAGGAAACGACCTCGCTCGTTTCCCGTCGGCAACTGTTGTACATAACTCAGCAAACAGGGTACAGAGGATCGTTCATGGGTATCCCTGGCCAGACCTTTAAGTAATTCACCGGTCATTGAATTGCGGATGGTTACCAGAGTCTCGTCGCTGAGCATAAAGGGCTTCAATAATTTCCATGCCTGTGGAGAGTCGATTTCAGGATCGTAATTCTGCATCTTAGAGGAAAAGCGTTAAATATGTATACGTGTACTATTTGATTTGTATACTATTTACTTCTTTTCGTAGTGTTTAATCGAATACAATATTTTGGAATGAATAACAGTTTGTAAATTACTCAGTTTGAAAATTATTTGTAAGTAACAAGGCTTTATTCGAGATGCCCGACTAGGAGATACCCTGAACCCAGTCCATTCTGCATTTTTTAATATTTTCCATAACTTGTAGAGCATTAAAAACAAAAAAATAAAAACCGACCTTATGAGACCAAAATTAGAACCATCATCGCCTACACATCAAAAAACTAAAAAAAAAAGTTCTTTCTCCGCCCGGTCTCGAATCCAGTAATTGTCGTCAACGAGCACCGCTGCTACCAATACCGCCACTGCAGTGCTTGTACAGGAAGGTGCAAATCTCAGGTTAAGTAGCAGCTGACAATTCAATTGAAGACAATTCAAGCACAATTCAGTAACAATTCTGATTCTTCGAATAGAAAAGAATATATGCATTTGAATGTATGTGTTCACATGTATAGCAAATACAAAATACGTATGCGTGGCACTGCTTTACATGTGATTTAATAACTTCTGTTTTACTAAGTGGATTCTAATGAAATTTTCAGAATATGATCTACATATTCTACTGGCTTGGCGGAAATTCAGACTCCTTCAAGCGGAAAAGATATCGATTATTGAAACAAAAAATCGACTCTAGCTTTTATATGCTCTGAGATAGATATGTATATTTATGCATACCAACAGACAGACAAATATACAGAGGAGCAGCCCTAAGTCGACTTAGCTCGTCGTCCTGATCAATAACATATGTATATACTTCTTACAAATACATTACCAAAAATGCTTAAAAATGCCTTAGAGAACTAACTTAGTTAACTAATTTGGCTACAAGAAAAACAACTGGATACGAGTTGGGTGTTGTGCTATGTACATAAATGGGGAATTGCCTACATAGAATGATAAGGCTGTAGGCGAAGATAGGATTGAGAATAGTGTAACTTTCCACTTTTTATACTCTAATCGCATTGAAAATGGGAAATCAGGGTATAATGGGTTTGTGCAAATGTATCTAACAGGCAGGAGGCGTGGCAGACCCCACAAAGTATATATATATGCTTGATCAGGACGACAAGACGAGGGGATTGAGCCCTGTCCGTCAGTCTGCCCGTCCGTCTGTCCGCCTGTCCGTCTGTCCGTATGTGTGAACGCGTGGATCTCAGCATCTATAAGAGCTAGAGACTTGAAATTTTTTGTAGGTCCGCGTATAGCACGCGAATATCGAGTTTGTTTCAAATATTCGATAACTATTCGCATTTAATTGTTATCGAATAAAAACATGATTGAAATGCAGGGCCATTATGTGAAGGCGTTTGCATCGCAACCAAGCCAATAGGATATGTAGATCATATGCTGAAAATTTCATTAAAATCCATTAAGTAAAACAGAAGTTATTAAACAAAACGTTTGGCCAATTTGCAAAAGCACATGTCACGCATTTTCCACGCATTTTCTATTCCAAGAATCGAAATTGCGATTATTGAATTATCAGCTGCTACTCAACTTCAAATTTGCAACTTTTGCAAGTGGTGCAGTGGCTGCGTTGGTAGAGGCGGCGCTCGTATGCAGCTAGTCGCAGGGTTCGAGACCGGCGGAGATGATATATTTTTTGTTTTATTTATTTTTTTTTTTCAATTATGAAGTGGCGGTGTTAGTAGAGTTGGTGCACGTTGTCCAAACAATCCGGGTTCGAACCCTGGTCTCGTAATGTCGTTTTTTATTTGTTTTTTTTTTTTTTTGAATTCTCGATACAAACTACGGAAAATATTAATAAACGCTGATAGGACCGGGGTCAGGGTATCTCCTAGACTAGAGTTTTCTTACTTGCTTAATATAATTGTAATTTGTTGCAAAAGCTCAGGTATTTCAGTGGTTAAATGATATTTATGAGTTGAGCACCCTTCGGCAGTTCAAATGTGTATTGATCACCTCATCACTCAAGATAGAGGATAGCAAACCAAACAAAGACTGTTCGTTCTACACAAAGGAACATTATTTGTATCATTTTCCACACAAATAATGTGGGTTAAATTTTAAAATAAAATGTAAGGCTTGCATTTAATATACACATAGTCTAGACGTATATGCTAAGACCATTAAATAATTTAATCTATATTATTTCTACGCTACTACACTTGCTCACTATTTTCGGTTTTTATTGCTTATGCTAGACCAGCTACGATGGCAGCACCAACTCCTGGACTATCTTCTGCGATGATGAACTCAAACTTGTTTTGAGGATTGGTCAGCATTAAGGCGTACTTATTGAGGTTCATTTGATAACTGGGATACAAACGATATACCCCACCTTCAACAGCAATCGAAATGTTTGGGGAGTTCATCCGATTGATTAAGCAGGCTACACCAACAGCTACCAGCTGAGCAGAACGCAGACTGACCGTTTTGCATATGAATCGCAACGTTGCCAAGTCACGTTGACTACAATTTCGGATACGAAATTTTTCCATTACTGCCTGGGCGCTTGTGTAAACATTCGGCGGATCGGATTCGATTGCCATAATTGACTTCATTTCCATTTTCCATTGAATGCCGAAGTAGTCCATGCTCGCTCCCTTAAAAATCACTCCCATATTCATTAGACGCACAACAATAAGTCGCACTAACTCGCCCATATATAAGGTGCTTATGCATTTCTCATAAAACTTTGTGCCCGGTACGCTAGACACAGAATCGACTAATTTGTCGAACTCGTTGCGTATAAGCTCTAAATGTCCATTGCCGCCAAAGTTACCCCACCCAGTATTGATTATCATTATTGGGATGGACGGATCGCCATCATATAATTCGCACGATTCAGTCTTCTCCACATAAGCAGCATTTGTGTTTGTGCCCACAATTAAGCCCATTCTACAATTGGGGTGCGACCAGCTTACTGCCATTAGTGCGCCGATAGCAATGTTGACAATTGAATTCAGGTTTATGTGTATATCCTTGTACTCATCCAGAGCATTCCGGAGCAGCTGCACCACGTCCTTACCCACCGCTCCTTGAGCGCCATAGCCCTTGGTCCACCTGAGCAAAATCCCCACATCAAGAGACAATTTATTAAGTTCAAAAGCAAATGCAATTCCCATGGGAAGGTTATCCTTCTCAACTTTTTTATCTCTGACAAACACCGCAATATTGTAGGCCAGAAAGTTGAAAAGCGTAGTGCCTCGCGATGCGGCTACCGTATGTGGCACAATGACGCACTTGGAGCTCATGTATATGTCCTTCTCGCTACCGAACTTGACTAGCATAATACGGCAATTGGTAGGCCACATCTCTAAAGCAAGGAAACGACCTCGCTCGTGGCTCGTCGGCAACTGTTGTACATAACTCAGCAAACAGGGTACAGAGGATTGGTCATGGGTATCCCTGGCCAGACCTTTAAGTAATTCACGCGACATTGAATTGCGGAGGGTTACCAGAGTCTCGTCGCTGAGCATGAAAGGCTTTAACAATTTCCATGCCTCTGGAAAGTCCTCCTCGGGATCAAATTGCATCTTATTGCATGAAATATAAACGAATAATTTTGACTGTGCGGAAAGTCATGTAGTATTCGGCTAATCGTGTAGTGTTCAATGAAACATTTTATTATGATAAAAAATGGAAGAAATCTCTGTCATATTTACTTATTACCGAGTGCTTTGATTGTCATATAAATTGGACATCGGTATACGTGCAAGGCATCTTTCCAAGTCTTATGAAAAGTTCGATATGGATTGGCTTTGGTGGGAACTGTCGGATTGATCTTTCTATCTTGAAAAATTAATAGTTATGTGAATGACTCCAGACTTATCTTGTATTAACTTGACTGCACTGAAAATGAGAACGTTTTCTATCTTTCTATCAAACTTATGTATCATATAGAAAACATCATGTCGACGCAATCTTACAAAATAAATATACGGATAAAGGATGGGCAGTCGGATAAATAGATACATGGACACGGCTAACTCAATTAGGCAGTTTCAAAAATGTTAGTATAAATATGATAGTCCCAATCCTTTTATTTTATACCCTGCACCTATTGAATGGAGAGTATAATGGTTTTTTGAAAATGTTGTTAGCAAGTTGAAGGATGCTCGGCAGATCATATAAACTATACTTATGTATTGCCTGTTCGTCTGTCTGTCCATATTAACGTAGTGATCGTAGTAGTGAGCATTCCCATTTCAAGATTATCATAGATTATTCTACATGGAAATAATGAGGTTATCTGACGGGAGACCTGGTGGTTAGTGGGTTACCCCTTTTAATTAGAATAAGTCAATGACCCAACTCACTTCACTCAAATAGCTGAATTCAAAAAGACCAATGTGAAGTTATTATAAGATATAGTTTATGTGAATGTAATGTTTTGTCATGTATTAAAATAGTTCAATAATTGAGTCAAGATCGTTTTAACTTTTTCGATGCTATGGCAGCTACGATAGCAGCACCCACTCCTGGACTATCTTCTGCGTTGATGAATTCGAATCTGATTTGGGGATTGGTCAGTAATAAGGTATACTTATTAACGTTATTTAGGAAAGTGGGATACAAGCGGCATACCCCACCTTCAACAGCAATCGAAATGTTCGTATAGCTCATCCGATCGATCAGGCAGGCGACACCGACAGCTACCAACTGGGCGGATCGGAGGCTAACGGTTGCGCATATAAAGCGAAACGTAGCCAAGTCTTGTTCAGTACAGTTATTAATGCCAAATTTGTCCATGGCCTTCTGAGCTGCCGTATAAACATTCGGCGGATCCGATTCGACAGCCACAATTGACTTCATTTCCATGTTCCATGAAATGCCTATTTTATCCATGCTCGCATCCTTAAAAAGAACCCCCATTTTCATTAGACGCACGACTATAAGTCGCACCAGTTCACTTATGTTAACTGTGCTGATGCACTTCTCATAATACATCATGCCCGGATTGTTAGAATTCGCATCGATTAACTTGTCGAACTCGTTGCGTATAATGTCCAAATGTCCGTTGGAACCAAATTTTCCCCAATTAGTGTTTATAATCATAAACGGGTGGTTCCTATCCCCTTCATACATTTCACATGCTTCAAGCTGCTCTACATAAGCGGATTTTGTGAGCAATCCAACAATAATAGCCATTTTACAATGGGGATTCGACCAATTAATTGCCATCAGAGATCCAATGGAAATGTCGACAATTGAATTTAGATTTATGCGTATGTCCGTGAACTCATTCAAAGCATTGCGCAGCAGCTGAACCACGTTTTTGCCCACCGCACTTTGAACACCATAACCCGGGGCCCATCGGATCAAAATGCCTACATCCAGGGCTAGCTTGTTAAGCTCAAAAGCAAATGCAATTCCCATGGGAAGGTTATCCTTCTCAACCTTTTTATTTCTGACAAACACCGCAATATTGTAGGCCAGAAAATTGAAAAATGTAGTGCTCCGCGATGCGGCTATCTTATGTGGCACAATGACGCACTTGGAGCTCATGTATATGTCCTTCTCGCTATTGAACTTGACTAGCATAATACGGCAATTGGTGGGCCACATCTCTAAAGCAAGGAAATGACCTCGCTCGTGGCCCGTCGGCAACTGTTGTACATAACTCAGCAAACAGGGTACAGAGGATCGTTCATGCGTATCCCTGGCCAGACCTTTAAGTAATTCACGCGACATTGAATTGCGGATGGTTACCAGAGTCTCGTCGCTGAGCATGAAAGGCTTTAACAATTTCCATGCCTCTGGAAAGTTCTTCTCGGGATCATATTTCTGCATCTTATATGAGGAACCAATATGTAACAAACAGGAAATTTGTTCAGTGGTTTTGTGAAGTTATGGATTTGTGTGCAGTATCTGTGTGCTGTAGTTGTGTGATCTGTTTATAATAGTAGGAGCTTGCTCGGTATATATGTATTGAATGTAATATACAATTTTGAGTGAACAACATTTTGTGATTTATTTACAGAAAAAATATTGAGTAAAAGTAGAGTATAAAAATGCTTTACAGAAATGCCTTATTGACTAATTTGGTTATTAGAGAAACATATGGACATGGGCTGTCTGCTGTGAGCATGAATGTGCAGTTACCTGCTTGCTATGACACGATGAATTCCGCGGTTATTGCTTGAGTGAGGTTAGGTTAACACGCTGTTTTAGAACTAGGTTAAACTTAAACGCAGAAAGTAACAATTTAAATAATAATCTAAGCAACTGCCTGCTGTGTTTGTCACCTTAGAAATATATCGGAGAACTCGCCATGCAGCAGATCAGCAAACGGATGGAAACTGTCCAGCGTAGCCAGCGGGCTGATGCACGCCGATGGCTGCTGATCGCTGGCAAAGTCAAATGAGTCTGTCGAGTGGTCCAGCATTCGTAAGCTCAGCTCTACATCAGGCTTATCCAGAGTCAAGTTTATCGATATGGGTAGGTCTCCACGCGAGGGAAGCGCTGAGCTTGCAGACACCAGCAATTCTGGATGATAGCTGTTGAGGCAGTGCAGCGAGTCGCTGTCCGACTCCAGCAGTAATGTGTTCAGCTCATCCAGCGCTTGCATGCCCAACAGACTGTCCGTATCTAGCACTGCGCTGTCGTGCACACTGCCGCTGCTACTGCTGCCGCTAGATGCCGCTGAGGAGAGCGACGCATAGGCCGAACTTGGCGAGGAGGCGGCTGGGCAAAAGGCGGGTGAGCCCACGGAAGAGGAAGCATAACACGATTCTGGCGAGCTAATGGGCACATTTGTTGTATTTGTCATTATGGGTGTCGCTGGTACTACAGTTGCCTTAGATTGCTTGCACTGTCGCTTGGCTGGTGACTTTTTGTTGGCCTTAACTGGTTTTTTGGGCTTGGCAGGCGGCGTTGGCTCCAGCTCTACGTCCAAGTCCAGATCTGGTTCGGTGTCCACGCTAACATGCGCCTCTCTGTTGGCACTCTCGCGCAGACACTCGACTAGGAACTCGCTTTCATAGCTGGGGTCTTGCAGGGACTCACTTAACATGCCAATATACTTCATGGCCAGGCGCAGTGTTGTTATTTTGGTCAGCTTCTCATTAGTGGTGGCGGCATCCTCGCCCGTTATGGACTGCGGCACACAGTGTCGCAGGTGCTCGAAAGCCATATTGATCTCCCGCATGCGCGTGCGCTCCCTTGCGTTGGCTGTCTTCCGGCGATACTTGCTCAGCGGCGGAGCTTTCGTCTTGGCCGTAGTCTTGGCCTTGGCCTTGCTGCAGACTGTCGCTGCAGGCTGCAGCTCTTCTGTGGCTGGTGCGGTCATAGGGGCAGGCAGATCGCCAGGTACGCGCTTCTGTCTCTTCTGACGTAGCGAGTACTTCTCACCGCGCCGACTACCTGTAGCAGCGCTTGCCTTACGCTTACGTGAATCCTCGCTCACTGTCTTGGCTTGACCTTTTTCCAGCTCCATGTCTGAGTCGACGTAGTTGTGCAGCTCGTATGTGTTGGATTTCATCTGCAATGAGGTTCAAGAGTGAAAGTTCGATTCAGTTATGATATTTCATTGATTCGTTAAGTTATTTTGGGCGGCTGTGTGCTTCTTGAACACAGGCGTGGGCTGTGCCGCCCCAGCAATCAAAAGCAATTAACAATTTGTTTGAATTGCCCAAAAATGTTGTTCCATCGCAATCGACTACTGAACGGGGCAAACCAATGAACCGTAACTTGTCTAACCCACCCGCCAAATTTCCGTCTATGTGCTATGTGATGGCGTCTGCTGTGGTGTGGTGTGGGCGCTTCCTTCATGTCACCGTCGTTAAAACCCAGTGAAGCCGAAAAACGCATCGACCAAAAAGTCATAAACAAATTTATTCTTAGGCAGGGCTCAGCTTTTCCAATTTGGACTTCATTAAAACCAACTATTTTCCAATTCCACAATCAAGCGCTGAATTGTGCAATCGCAAATGCCGCAGATCGAAAAACTACTACGTCTCAGTATGTCTGATTCAGTGGCTCACATATTCAATCTCAAGCCTGACTCATGCCCGGGCTCCTAGAAACGGACAATGCGCACAATTCGATTCGTCAGCGGATCGCGTTGCTAATCCCAAAAAGGTTGCCTCAAGGCGGCAGCTGTGGCACTTGCAACGCGACTGCAAAAATCTCACATTGCCTGGCGTACGATTTTAATCGTAGCACAATTGACGTTTGCCTATCAAATTTAAAGCTTTAATCGATCTCTGGCCAACACACATAGGCGTGGCCAATTGAGAATAGAGAACGGAACAAATTTAAATAAGTTCGGTTAAAGCTTCCCAAGTGCAGACTGCGTGATACATTTTTTATATTTTGTATTCAAATTTGCGCTTACAAAATTTAATTTGAATTTCCTTTACTAAAGCTAGACGTCTTTTAAAGCTTTTTGCTATAGATTCCTTTGGAACTCTTGCAACAAAGTACTTAAAAACAAATATATTTAATTTAAAAAATAATTTCAGTCGTTGTTTTTGCTTTCACCACAGACAAAATCAATTAATCTTGCATTATTAATAGCACAGGCTTCTGTGGCCTTTATCTGTGCTTTTATTTGCGAGCTATAAAGCTTCCAAGTCACTTAAACAGCAGCAATTCAAAGATGACGTAAGAAAGTATTTATTGAAATGAAAAAAAAGTTTAATTTATTATTTTATACACATATTTTTTGTTAGTGTACAAAGTATTTAATTTATTTCATTTTATCAAAATGTTTCAAAAGTTGCAGTTTTTAGTGGCAAAAGTTGTCTTTAAATGTTTGCCCCACAAACAACTTGCACAACAATGTTGTTGAGAAAGTTTTTCACTGTTTTGCGGTAGGTCAACTGTACTAAATATTTTCCATGACTTTTCCACAAGCTTTTCATTTTCTATATATTTCTTTGCCTCATTTTTTTGCGGTTGCGGCTAATGTAAACACAACAGCAACAAACAACGAGAGGTAAGCAAATGGCCGCTATTAATGAATGCATTTAATGCAAGAATTAAGTTACATGAAGTGTAACTTGAGGCACGTCACAGCGTCATCAACAGCAATAACTGAAACAACAACAACAACAACAACATGTGCTACCGCCTAAACAATATGTCGAATGTTTCTGCACTGATGCTAACGCCCTTGTCTGTTGCTTGAATTGCGCCTTGGCCTCAAAAGCAGTCAGCTTAGAGTCGTCTGTGCAGAGGTGTAAATCTGACCAGATTGATTGCAATCAACGTCTCTCAGAGAGAGAGAGACAAATATAGAGAGGGAGATGGAGATAGAGAGATCGTGTCAGGTTCACTTAAATGGACAATTTAGTGCAGATTGCCAAAATTGGCAACAGATATTCTTGTACGACCCGGCCCAGTCGCAGTTGGACTTGGCTTAGCCAGTTGCTGACACTTGTTGCATAGCTTTGACCATTCCAAGTGAAACAAGTTGTTGCTGTTGCTGTTGTCCGTCTAACAGCGTTGCACTTTTTATCATTTACCGTTAAGCGCGCTATAAGGCCTGAACTGTAAGATAGAGATCTCTCCTTTAGTCTATCCGCCAGACGAATTGACCACCAACTAATGCTAATGCCAATGCTAATGCTTTAGCTCCTCGCTTCCTATGCAATCTTCGTGTTTGACTTCCAACAGTGCCTCGAAGTCCACAACTTTCAACACGTTGCAAAAAAAAAAATATAAAAAAAGAATTCACTTTGCATTGTTCGTGTCAGCTTTGATTTCTGTTTGTTGCCCTCCTGATTTACATGGCAATTAATTCTTGCCACGCGACGCCAGTTGCATGAAAGCCGCTCGGCTTTCGGATGCCAACGACTGCTGAATGATCTTTATATTTCGATTTAATATTGGTATATATTTATTCTAAAATTAGTAAGAATGTCACTAGCGATGAGACATTCGTCAAAATTTCGATGACGCATAACAATTTGGCCGGGAATCACGAAATATGGACATGTACAACAAATGAGTCGTGCGAGTCAAAGCGAAAAACATTTGAACGTAGAGCAATAAATTATAAAAGTAAATTAACAATTTGAATATGAAATGTATATGTATCTTAGTAAATATTGGGGTTCAATAAAAACTTATTTTAGGCAGATACAACTTAACTATCACGAGATCGAATTCAAGCATTCATTTGGTAGTTTAAATATTTTGAATAATACATAAAATATATATTAATCTTGCATTTTTAAGCATTTTAAATATTTAGCAAATAAATTTAATTTTTTTCTAAATAAATTCAGAGATCGAAATTTGACTATAATCTCAGCTCTTATAACTAATATGCCCATGCTCTTATAGTTCATGAGGCGCTCGTTATTGTAAGTAGGTGCACAAAAAGTTTACGCGACATGCAAGAAACAAGGTGCAATTAAGAGCACTGCGAGCTCTCGGAGCCCGCTTTCTACCTGCAACGTCACCTGGAAGCATTCGCCCTGTCGTTTCATGCGGCTGCTTTTGGCGCCAAAATGACGTGAAAATTAGCAAGTTCCGTGTGTTGGCTCTACAAATTGCATGCGATTAAAGATATTCGCGGCTAATAAACGCTGTTCAACAAACTGCAGCAGGCGCAAAGCTGGCCGGCAAGGGCGTGTCTGGTCGGCAGGATGTGTAGGAAGCACACACAGGATGTTCGGCTCTGGCTTTTGCACTTACTCGCTTGTTGATTGGCGCATTCGAAGCGCACGCCGCTTAAGTTTTCAATTACACGGCAGCACAATGCGAAACCAATTGAAATGCGCAGACAACAAGCACAACTAACATTTCCCTCTTAGAGCAATTTCACCCACTCCGCCAACAAAGCAGACAAAAGGCCCGTCGTGCGTGCGCCCATCCGTGAAGGGGCTGGGTTGGGCTCGTTTTCAAATTGTTCAATGTTTGTTTTTAATTTTTTTCGGCATTTTTTATTCTTTTGCTGTGCACTGCAGGGAGTAGCTGTCTATTCGAAGTGAACTTGAACATACTCTCCGGGGAAGGGATAGCCATTACAGTTAGAACTACATTTTGCATGCTTCTCGGCACGCCACAAAGGGCGAACCGAGGGCGCCGGCAGCAGCTGATGGAAAATGGAAAATGAATTGTGCTGAGCAAATTGAAAGTTAAAAACGCAACTAAAGCAGATTAATTTTGATATCGATTTGATAATCGATCATCAAACAAGCGATAGCGTTGTTAGAGGAAAGTGTTATGAATGCTTGCAATCTTTAATTTTTTTTGTAATTTTTTTTATTGTTTTAAAATATTTTTCAGTTTAAAAAAAAATTGATTTAATTCATGGGTGACACATCAACTAGATAATTTAGCAAATATATGATGTGGACGATCGGTCGCAGTATAAACGCTCGAAATAAGTAAGCCCAGCTAATGCAACACAATGAAATTGATTGGTTCCTATAGACAGTCATTCCCCCCTGCATTTACATATGGAGCTAGCAGCTACGAACGCTGCACCAAGAGCCGTACCTTTTTCAGATAGAACTAGTTCCACTGTAGCCGAGTCCTTTAGTAGGAGATTCACATTCGCCATGATCATGTCGTGGTAGGTGGGATGAAAACGATAGATCCCACCATCTACAGCCACTGATATCTCGGAGACATCCATCTTCTTAATTAGACTAACGAGGCCACAGGCCATCAGCATGGCTGAACGCTTTGCGATTATGTTGCATACATAGCGCACACAGGCTAGATCCTTTTGGTTGTTGGTCGTGATGCCCAGGCGATGCAAGACCATATCAGTAGCGCGATACTGGCCTGGCATCTCTGCCTCTATCTGCAGCATGTAGCGAGTATCGAATGTCCATGGTTCCCTAATAGCGTTTGACTTCTGGCCCTTGAAAATGAGCTGTTTGTCCATTAGATCCAATAATATTTGGCGCACAATTTCGCCTAGATAGATGCCAGAGACGCACTTTTCAAAGATATTTCTCATCTGATCGGACGTCAATTTATCCACGGCGATATCATAGTCAGTCCGTATAAAGTCCAATTCGCCATTCTCCCCAAAGGTTCCCCACTCAGTGTTTATTATCATATTATCCTTGAGGCTCGTCTCATATCCTTGCAACATTTGTGTATTAAGCGTTTTCTCCACATAACTTGCATTAGTAGTACTACCCACAATTATGCCAATGAAACAATTCTGCTTACTGAAGGCAAGGGACAAAAGGCTTCCTGTCGTGCCAGTAAGCATTGCAACTACATTGACTCTGATATCGGTACGTCGGTTTATTGCATTCTGCAACAGTTTGGTAACATTCTTACCCTCAACGTCTGAAGAATTAAAGCCACTTTTCCAATTGAGCAACACGCCGATGTCAACGGCCTCCTGTTCGCAGGGAAATGAGAAGACGAAGCTCAGCGGTAGATTCTCCATTGCAATATTTAATTCGTGGCAAAATTCGGCGAGGCACTTTGCAAAAAATTGAAATAATCTATTGCCCGAGCCGTGCTTTAGATTTTTGCTCAGCTCAAAGGTTTTGGATGTCATCTCAATATCTGTTTCACTTTTAATATAAACCAACAGAACACTAACAGTGGCATCGCCTAACTCAAGCACCAGATATTTGCCCCGCTCCTTGCCTGTCGGTAGATTCTGTACGTGGGTAACAAAACTTTTCACTGTGGACCTTGAATGCGTATCTCTCGCCAGACCCAGCTCTATTTCAGCCGTGAGGCGATCAACAATCTGGAACATTTGCTCTTCTGATAACCTGAATATCTGGCAAATCTTATGGGCTTCCGGAAAATCATCCTGTGGTGAAGACATGCCTAGGTATCTGCAGAGGAGCGGGGCGTAGTGCTAACAAAATACTTGAATTTTTATTGCTCTACGCAGTTTTGAGTTGCTTGAAAAACTGATTAGAAATTCGAATATTTTTTTTCATTACATAATCAAATCGATGTTTCCCTTTGTTTAGCTGGCTCTGGCTCTGACTGGTACCTTTTTGGTCAATTGAAACTCTTTAAGTCAGCTTACTCTGCGGGAATATCATAAAATTAGCTTCTGATTGAGCTTGAGCCTCTTCATTGGCATAGTTCTTGCCGTATGTATGCGGACATGCAACATACAACAAATGCCTTTGCCATCTCTTTTTTGTTTTCAAATAAATTTCTTTTTACCCCGACCAGCCGGACCAACGACAACAACAACTAAGCAGACAAAAGGCGCGTCGTGCGTGCGCCCAGGCGTGAAGGGGCAACAAGCAAGGGGCGCATGGCGTGGTATGCTTCGATTTTTTTATAAGGTTGTTTTTGGGCGCTGCAGGGAGCTACTGTCTATCCAAAGTGCACTTGAAATTGCTGACGAGTGATGTCTCCCAACCCCGCCTCAGTTGCAGCCGCTGCATTTTTAGGTGTAGCCATTAAATTTAGAACTTTTTTCTGTACGCTTGTCTGCACGCGAAGAGGTGGGGCGGTTTAGTGGGCTGGTGCTGTAAGGGAGCAGTCGGAGGAAACGTTGGAAAATGAAGCAGAATGCATCAAATATACGAAAAAAGCTGCAATTGTTACTAACCTACAGAAGCAACGAGCAGCGAGATGAGACCGAGAATTTCTCGGCGCTTTCTTTTAGAAACTGTTCCTTCCCGTAATTAAATACCTGTGCAAGAAAGCCAATGCAATGAGACAAAGGCAGTCATAAAAGAATTAAATGTTAGTCAGGCTAACAAACAAGAATAGCTTAAATATTTGAAAGCTGGCCTGACTATTATTTATAAAATAAACAAATATATATTCTTTGCACCTTAAGCAAATGCGAGTTGTTGAAATGCGCCCACCGATCTATCACAACGGATTTTTCTTTCTTTATTCCATTTTTTCTAAAAGCATTTTAACTGCGAATATTGAAAGATAAGTCCAAGTAAATCAGAATTTTTTTATTGTACTTCTTGAGCAGCTCTAAAATGATTTTTTATTTTATGCAAGTTCTTTTTTCGCTTCTCTTGTTTTTTTTTTAATTATAATTCCTTATTTGCTTTTTGCGAAAAGCGTCCCAAATCTGCGTCTTTGTTGTTGCCGTTGATGTTGTTGTTTTTGTCTCGTGCTGTTGCCAGCTGCATGTGGCCGCCTTTATTGTTCTCCTACAGTTTTCCGCCTGCATCTCAGTTTCCATTTGCGTTGGGCTGAATTTTATTTTTAGTCAGCTTGCGGCGGGTTTCCGATTTTAATTCTTTCATTTCTATTTTCTATTTATTTTGTATTTATTTTCGCATCTTCCGATTTTTGTTTTATGGCTCCTGTGGTTGTTGTGCACGTTGATTTGTTGCCGTTTTTCATGTGTGCGTTTTTTCTCTTGTTGGCTCACTTTGCTTGAATCTGTTTGATTTTCCATTTAAGTTCAGTTTGTTTATTAAAATTGGCACACGTCGCGTATGGGTGATGTACGTGCATTTACTTTAGAGCTAGCAGTACCTCTCTGTCTCCCAACCCATAAATATGTGCACATGTTTTTTTTTAGCACTGTCGGGTTTAGTATTACCAACTAAGTTTGTTTATTGGTATGCTTTCTGACAGGTTTTGTGGCATTTATTTTATACAATATTTTATTGTCTAGCATTTGGATAACAACACATGGGGTCAAAAGGTAATGAATTGTATTTATACAATTTTTTAAATATTTCACGTTACTTCCACAAGCTATTTGAAACTAAATTGAGAAATATCTATAAGTAATTTAACTAATAATAGAAAGTCTTAAATAAATTATTTATAAAGTAAACTATACAAATTATTCCTGCATATGGTTGCTAAATCTTCTTCATTTAGATATATTTATGAAAATATGTTTAAATGTTTTTTCAAATTAAAAGTCTTTTATAAATCACGAGGAACTGAATGAATGCTGGAGCAAATCAAATAAAATTTCGTTATACAAATAATGATTGATAGGGCCAATTGGCAAAGGTGATGTGCAGCGAATAATTATTTAAATAGCTTAACAAATATTGAGATTGCGTTGACTCGCAGCTGAGGCATTAATTGAAATTGATTGTCTTTGGGCAACTTCTTGCCAAAATTTTATTCAATTGAGTTTAAAGTTTTCTCTGTTAAGTTCATGAAGGGCAAGTCAGACAAGCGGTCTGCTGGCGGGCCCACAAAAAGGGGAGCTGGCACATGAAAACTGTTGACAAGCTGACTGGCCCCCAACCTAAAATCCAACCCCAATGGACTAAAACTTTTCAACACCTTGGGCAAATAAATGCGTCGCCTGCCTCGACGTGCAGCTCCCCTTCTCATATCTCTGCTTCTCATATCTTCTGTCTTGTCTATTTTTATTGATACAACAACGACAACAACAATAATAACAACATATGAGTTATGTCCACATTTATTTACCTTTTTGATTTCATGAATCCAAAAAAAGCGTGAGCCTCCGCCGTTTGCAGTTGTTTTTTGAGTTTTTCTTCTTTGTTTTTAAATTGTGAAATATTTAATGTAGTTTTTGTTATTTTTAACACTTTTAAGCACTTTGTTGGAGATTTGTTGTTATTTTATGGAAATTCTTGCTTCATTAAGCTTAGCCCGCGCACATTGCACGAATTCTAAAACGAATCTGAATCAATTTAAATTCCACAGCATCAGCTAATTAGTCATAGAATTTTTTTTTAATTTTTTTGAGACTCTATTTTAAATTATCGTTTGCCTCATGCACACATTTTGGTCAGATTAACACAATAAAGATTTTGTTTTGATTTTTGTTTTATCTTGAAATGAATTCTTTTTATTTCCTCGAATTCGCTTAGCGAAACTTGTTCGATATCATTTTTTATATATTTGTATTTCTTTTATGTTTGTTTGCTGTTTTCTTATTTTTATTTTTGACGACAGTTCGACGAGAATCTGTTAGCTACGCGCGATGCAGCCGTGTATGTGGGAAAAGCCTCGAAGAACAGTTTTTCCAAAACGTGCGAGCCGCGTGTGTCAGCAGCGTGCCTGTGCAACGGTGTGTGCGAGTATACGTGTGTGTCAGTCAGTGTGTATATGTGTGTGTGTGCCGGCTGCTAAAAATATCCGTGAGTACTCGCGCTGCCGCTGTGTATCTATGTATCTGTATCCAATAACCCGAGATGGCGCACAAAAATACACGGCCCGTTGCTGCGGCTGATGCTGCTGATGCTCTTGCTACTTGGAGAAAGGTGCGTTTGCGTCTCCGTTTTCGTTTTCGACGAGCTGCGTCCGCTCGCTGCGCTAGTTGGCTATGCACTGAGCAGAGATTGTCAGCGACGCCGTCAGCCGTCAATGTCGTCCACTCGGCTATACGCTTTGGCTTTGACTCCGTTAGCCAAGCCAACGCGTTGTCTGAGTAGGCTTATTGTGGTATTTGTTGTTGCTGCTGCTGACTTGGTTACCCACACAGAACATGCGGCGGGAACCCGGGTACCGGCACTTGTCTGTTCCGCTGAGCGTGCGGCGCGCTATTGAAACGATCAATGAATGAAATGCGGCATTAAAAAGCAGCACTTTACGTTTGTATCTTACAGATACGACTACAAGCCACAGCTTGCCAGCTCGCCAGCTCGATAGCTCGTCAGCCGACCAATAAACCGCTAAACCCACTGCCAGAGCTGAGATCGTTCCTCGCCAACGCCAAAACACAGCGTCTTCGAAGCCCCAATCCCGCTGAGCAACGACAAACCAGTTCTTGTTGCTCTCCACTCGTTCCACTCGCACTCACCCACTCAATTCGCTCGGCTTGTGTGGGTGTCTCTGCGTTGGCAGGCCGGTTGGGCGGTTGGTCGGTTAGATCGGTCGAACGTATATGCTGCTCTTGAGTGAATTTTGTGTGATTCGTGCTAAGTTTTCGTTTTCATTTCGAGTTGAGTTCGTTTCGTTGGATCGCTCTCAGAGATTTGTTTGTCGAATTTGCGCTCTGGGTATGATCTAATATTGCCAGGCAGTTATTTATTTAAATTTATTACAAATTTTTTATTTATGTCGCTGCGCTGCTTGACATTCATTTGTATATCAGTCAAACATTGTTATGGCCCACAAATACAATTGCATTATGTTAATTTCTGACTACCTTTAACTATTTGCCATACAATTCTTGAGCTTTATTCCGACTGCCGACTTCTTTCAAAACATAGCCTGCAGCTATTCGGATTGATGATCGCATAGATCTATGTTTGTTCATCTCAAATTATATTAATGGCATATCTTAATTAAGTTAAGCATTTTGAGTGCACAATGGATCGGACGTTAACAGTAAGAGTAAATAATATGCATAGAAATTTGTTTTTTTTTTGTTTTGGAAATCTGTAGTCGTATAATATATTCTGTATATTAACTATATTGATGTTTAATCAATTTATTTATAGCTTAGCTAATGAGAAGATGGCCTGATAGGGACTTACACAATATAAAATGTTAATTGCATAATGTTGCTAAACATATAAATAGTACATCCAATATTTTTTATCCTATATTGATTTTGTGCACTATCCATCTAGCTATTCGCCCAGTAGTGGCAAACCGTGAACTACTACAGAGATGCTTTTATACAAGGTGCTAGAGTCTTCAAATATGTGATATATGGTGTTGATAACCCAAAACCGGAATGTATAGTATCCATTTCCATTAGGGTCGTAGAAAATCAAAATTAGCCAAATAAATATTATATTTCGACAATGCTAAATAGACAAAAGATATATTTTCCATAACTTCTTTTCTCTATTGAGTTTCTTTTTATTGAGTCTAAAATGTGTTGTTAGCTTTAGAAGTATTAAATGAAAATATATTAAAAGTTAAGCTGCCGTTAAGGTTACAACTTGCTGCTGCATTCGCTGATTTTCTTATAAGAAAATTGTGTTTTGATCATTGTTTAAGCAAATAATTATAATAAGTGCCAACAGGCAATCGGTAATTGCAAAATGGATTTGCTCCTGCGGGCAAAACAAGTTGAATGACGACATACCCATGCGAGATACTATATTCTGTATATGAATGGCTGTTGATAAATTGCTGCCTGACAAGTCGAATCGACTGATCGACTGACTGATCGCCTGATCGACTCGACCAATCGACCCAGCAGCAGCAACAGCAGCTGACTTGCCAGCAGGCTCATTTGTCTGTCGATCAGTTCGTCATTGTTGTCTTTGGGTTTTTTGTGTTCTGGCTAGCACACAGAGAAACAAATAAATCATGATGATAACAATTAAATTTGATTATAATTTTTCAACAGCTCTGTCAGCTGTTCGGCTGTTTTGCTTTTCGGCAATAAGCTGCATAAATTTGTTCATGTCGCAAGGTCAGCCAGTGAAAAATTAAGGCATGCAACATTAATTTGATTTGCGTGCGAATCATGACGCTTTTGGGGAGTGACTGTGCCGTGGAGCTGCAAAAGACACACAGCAAGCATACTTAAAATGCTTATATAAGTCCACAAATTGGCCAATAGCATTCGGCCATAATATGCTGACAACTTAATCTATAGCCAAGTCCAAAGACAGGAACATGACCAAACGCGCCATAATTAAAAAAACAAACGTCACATTTTTATTTTTTTATGCTTGTCTGTCTATTTTTTATTTTTATTTTTTTTTATGCTAAAGTCTAGAAGGTCAGGGGCTTAGCTGAGAGAGGGTTTGCAAGAATTTGATAGAATTAATTATGTACATTAATAGATTCTGTAATACAATTGTTTTTGCTTCGCAGGCTGTATCATAGCTTACTTTAGATTTGAGGGTAGATCATAAGAAACTTCGACTCTAGCTTAAGCTCTGTTTATAATTATATTTTGTATGCCGTTCCTTTGCATTTTTATTTATATTAAGCTAATTAATATACATAAATCAGCTGATTTTGTATAACTCTTTATTAATGCATCCCCCATATCGCCGCCTCTGGCCGCCAATTGCTCATGCAAATGTTCTAAAGGCGGCTGACTATACACGCATTTGAATTTTCTACTCGCTTTGGCTTTTAATTACCAGCCTGCAAATCGCATTTGCCTGAATATGGTAACAAAACGCGAGTCTCAGTCTATGAGTCGTTTGGGGGTACTGAACGGCGATGATTCGTAGCGCTCTCTGGGCTGGTAATGGAGCCCGCTTAGGAAGTAGGAGACGTGACGCGAGCCTTTTATGGTCCGCTTTGGGAAAGCGATGAGAAAGCCAAGTATCTTAGCCGAGTTCGGCTAATTGTGAGCATCGCTTTGGGCCAGCTTCTTGACAAGTTGTTGGCGTTGCTGTTAACTGCGCTTTGCGTTGGCGCTGGGTCGACGTCTGTGTGCGGGGGCGTTGCGACGTTGATTTTATTTATATTTTACGTAAATTTATTATTACAAATATTGTTATTGCCGCTTTCAAGCGGAAATACACTCGAAAGCAACCAAGTCAAGCAGCCGCCCACGCGCCCAATCCTAAGTTGAAACAACAACCACCTGCAGTCTGAGCCACTGCGCCGACTCATTCATTCATTCATTCATACACTTTGGGAAGTGGAAGCTGGCGACCGAGAATGATCTTTGTCTATGGCTAAGATAAGCTCTTGAGTGGAATCGACGGCTTGACTGTCGAGCGGAAATGCCGCGCGATTAACTTGTTGTTTCTAATTAATTTTATACGCATTTTCATTCAGTTTTGTTTTTTTTATTCAGAAATAATTTGCATAAGTGACGGCCGCCTAGAAAGTCTGCCTGGCTTTGAGTGTTCGGACGTGGGTGACTTTAATTAAATCGTATATCAGCTGATGAATGGCATTGTACCAGCTCTCTTAGAAACATATTTTCGGGCAGCTAGACAATGCTTATTTGGCTAATTTCTCAAATTTTATAAGAATTATTTGTATTTAACTGAAAGTTTAATTAAAATTGTATCCATGTAACAGGCAAACATACAAATAAGACTCTATACATATCAGAAGTTTTTATTAGTTTTTAATTCGACTTAGTTCAGTTGTGGAAGCCTTCGACATATTCAGAATAAAGGTAGCTATCAGGCTTACTCGTTCTCTATGAAAAGTCTAGATTGCTCTCTGGACCCCTGCTTACATGTCGAGAGCCACAAGTTATCCTTTTATCGATATTTAAAAACTTTTCGGCTTTCGAAAGAAAATAATCAATGCATACAATTACACCTCGTTTGAGCTCTTGATGTATTAACTTGAAGAAAATTCATTTATTTCTGTTTTATAATACTTCTCCATTCTTGCAGTCAATTTAATGCCTGTTTTATCACACTGAATGACATAATTTGCTGGCTCAAACATGTAAATTCCTAAACTTATATGAAAACGAGGTGAGAAGAAGGTGGGCGCGTTTTTCCTATGTTGGGCAACATAGAAATTTGATTGTCTTAATATTACAGTCAACACGGCGATTGCTCAATGCGTCGGTGTAGCGTACATATGGCCGAATTAATAAGTTG